CTCGTCCAGGGGTAGAGTTACCTCCCTCCAACAACCTACACTTGTCCATGGGTAGAGTTACCTCCCTCCAACAACCTACACTCGTCCAGGGGTAGAGTTACCTACCTCCAACAACCTACACTCGTCCAGGGGTAGAGTTACCTCCCTCCAACAACCTACACTTGTCCATGGGTAGAGTTACCTCCCTCCAACAACCTACACTCGTCCAGGGGTAGAGTTACCTCCCTCCAACAACCTACACTTGTCCGACACAGATGGAGCCACTGACCAAAGTCCACCACGACTGACACGAGCACGCCATGACACGAAAGAAAAACACGACACAGTGACACATGGGCAAGCATCAAAGCACAGACGACAACACAAGGGTCGCCGACTCACTGGGGCGTGTTACACTTGGAAAAAATTCTCTTCAAGCTATAGACACTGTCTTACAATTTGGACAATGATGAAGAAATTAAAACAGCAAAATAAAAGAGCATGGGGAGAAAGAACAATTGAAAAATTATATAAATTTAAAAAAAACAATAGAAGCCCCCTCTCCCGCAGAAGAGACAAAAAATAGGGTGAACGTGAATTTCTCCTGACAAGCTTTGGCTTAGAAAACGTTTGGCTTTAGTGGCGGCTAGTGTAGGTGAGGTGTGTGTGAAAACGATGGCGGTGGTGGTGGGTGGTGGGAGTTACTGAGGGGGCCACAATGAAAGCACAAGACTACTGAAGCCATCCCAAAGGTGCGTGCGTACGTGCGGGGCCGCGGTGGCCCGTGTGGGCGTGGCGCCGTAGCCCTGCCTGCCTTACCTCCGAGGACACCTGGACAAGGAAATCCCTATCTCCAGCGTCCAGGTCCAGCCCTGACCCCGCCCCTATCATCACCTGGCCCATCAGGTCCGGGGGTCCGGGGAGACCCTCGCTCTGGTCCGACTCAGCCCCAGTGGCGCTGTCTGACTTGAGCAGGGAGCTGACGGGCGTCTCACTGCGGGAGTCGCTGTGCGTGGGCGTGCCGTGGGTGGGCGTCCCGTGGGTGGGCGTGCCGTGCGTCTGCAAGCTGTGGGTGGGCGTGCCTGGGGGGAAGAACGCCTGCGGGGGGCGGCGGGAGAAGGGCCACTCTCCGTTTTCGATGGTGTAGCAGATGTGCTCCAGCCGGTGGAAGATCACTCGATCCTGGCACAGTGGAAAAAACAATGTGTGAGGCGTAGGATTTACTTCTCGCAATTAACAAATGGAGATTATATTGGCCAAAAATCGACACTAGGGTCAAATTTGTACATTTGATGCCATATTCTTTACCACTTTGCCGTTACATCTCGCCAATCTGCTATGGCTTACCACCCAGTTTCTTTGAATTTTCCCCAAAACGCCTTTGCCCTTGATGGCAAGAGTTTTTACTATATGAACCTTGTGAAGGCAAAATGTTAAAGCATACATAACACGTCTTTTATTATTTCATATTGTAAATTGTAAAAACTACACCTAGAACTATAAGCGTGATGCATCTATTTTCTATAGGGCTCGAATCTGAAAAAGTAACTCATTTAGTCAGCATGCTTCACATAATACTAGTACCATCACATCGGTCAGGCGAGTGGCGTCAACAAACCAACTCCCCCCCCTCCCATTCCTAGAGGCACCTGTAACACAAATAGGTCACGCGAGGAGTGCCAAAGATTAGAGGCGTTACAGGAGAGTGATATACAAAGAAAAGGAGGAAGAGGAGAGAAAAGGACATCATGTGTTTTGACAGGAAAGTTTTAGTGTTAGTAGTCTACTATTAGTAGAGGTTTTACAGCGCTCCCAACTGCATAAGGTCATATGAGCGCCAGAAGATTAGAGGTGTTACAAGAGAGTAACAAACATAAAAAAGAACAAGGGGAGATAAGGACGATAGATGTTTGATAAGAAAGAAGAAGCAAACCACAGCAGAGCACCCACCACCCACCCACACATACCTTAGGCCACTCCACGGCCGGGCCGAAGTAACGGGTTGGGGCAATCTCTCCAGGCTCCAGTCCTTCCACCTCCATCAAGCTCGGATCATCCCCAAATATCCCCGGGGCTCCGCCAACGATGGGCTGTCAACGACACCAAAGACACAAACATCACAACACTCACTCATAACATGGGCTGTCAACGACACCAAAGACACAAACAATCACAACACTCACTCATAACATGGGCTGTCAACGACACCAAAGACACAAACATCACAACACTCACTCGTACGATGGGCTGTCAACGACACCAAAGACACAAACATCACAACACTCACTCGTACGATGGGCTGTCAACGACACCAAAGACACAAACATCACAACACTCACTCATAACATGGGCTGTCAACGACACCAAAGACACAAACATCACAACACTCACTCATAACATGGGCTGTCAACGACACCACAGACACAAAAATGACAACACTCACTCACACGAGGCCCCACAATTGAGGTCCTGCCCACGAAATGGATAATTCATCATTTGAAAAACAAAACAAAAATCATGCTGTGCTGTGAGATTCACAGATTTACAACCAGGAAGAGCAGCAGCTATGGGATAAAACAGACACCGCCCCCATTCCTCCGGCCTTCAGAAAGCTTTTTAATTTTAGTAAGAGTTTTACAGCACTTGCAACACAATAAAGTCAAATAAGAGCCGAAGATTAGAGGTGTTGTTACAAGAGAGTAATGAACACCAAAAAGAAGGAGGAGAGATCAGGGCGATAGATGTTTGATAGGCAAGAAGGAGCAAACCACACCAGAGCACCCGCCAACCACCCACCTTCATAAAGCAAGACAACACTTGCACTCATAGCTTACAGACAGACAATAACAATTACATAAGACAGCTTTTTCATACTTAAAAATAAAATATGTGAGGCAGCGTGGTGGAATCGTCAAATTAATCAAAATGAAAAAAAACCTGCATTTTTCCGCAGGTCCGTGGATTTTTATCAAATTTTTGTTTTTTTGGCTCAACACTTTTCATGTCCATTAAAGAACTCATTTTTGTTTATTTTTCTGAAATACGTTGATTTTCTCAGTAATTTTACCTCTGAAAACAGGTGACCCCCACCTCCTTCTTTCGCAAATATCTCGACTTGTATTTAAGATAAATGGATATTTTTTTCATCCAAATAAAGACAAGTGAACAAGCTTTAAGATAATACCAATAACTCTACATGCCCAAAAATTGACGAGAGCCTGATTCCACCAGGTTTTCTCAGTGGCCTCCTATGTATTTCATGCTTCCACTTACCGCAGCCCCCAGCTCTGCCTGTCTGGCCTCCCGCTCGCGACGAAGCTTCTCCTCCGCGATTCTCTCAATCTCCGTCTTGATGATCTTCTCCTTCAAGCGGACATAGTCCGGCTTGCCTTCGTCGTCCTCCTCATCTCTCACTTCTATCACCTCCGCCACCTCTCGTTTTGCTTCCACTTTCTTCGCCTCACTGTCCGACGACACGCTCTTCTTCGACTCAGAGTCCACATTGGATTTTTCCTCCGCGTCCATATTTTGGACCGCATCTTTCTTCTCATTCTGTTCGTCTTGACTGTCCGACTTGCCGTTGACTGGAGACAAATCTTCCTCCATCTTCACGGGCTCCAAGGTGGGCAGCTCAGGGTCACCCTTGTGTCCTTCACCTTCGACCTTGTCCTCGACGTCTTTGTCGGTACTGTCTGCAGCTGCCTTGGTGCTGTCTGAGTCTGTATTTTCTGTTTTTGTACTTTCAGCATCTTTTTCAACATTATCTGCGTCTGCTTTAGAGCTTTCTCCGTCTTTTTTACTACTATCTGCGTCTTTTTCACTACTATCTGTATCTGGTTTAGAACTCTCCACATCTTTTTCCCTACTATCTGCATCCGTTTCGACTTTCTTCTCTTCATCTTTTTTCTCCGTATCATCATTCACTTCCGGTGCGGAGTCTTCCTTTTCCTCACAAACGTCTTTCTCCTCGGCCTCAACCTTTGACTTCTCGGGATCACTTTTCTCAGACGGTCTCTCCTCTACAGCGTCTTTCTCTTCCACTGCGTCCTCCACCTCATCCCCTCCTCTCGAGGACTCCTTCTCCTCAGCTTCCATTTTCTCACTCTCAGGAAGTTCGGGTTTTTCTTTATCCTCAATCCCCTTCTCCTCTCCTTTCTTCTCCCCTTCCGTCTCCTCATCTTGTTTCTCCTGGTCGACAGAATTATCCCCCTTCTCAGCTTCTCCACTGGCAGGCTTGTCCTCGTCCTGGTCCTTGTTGGGGACGTCTTCCTTCACCTCACCGGCCCCACCATCTTCCTTCACCTCAGCAGCGCCACCATCTTCCTCCCCACATTTCTCCTCACTCTGTCCATCCTGGTCCTCACAGACTTTGGCCGTGTCTTCCGCAGGCTCCGACACATCCATCTTCTCCTCCTCTTCCTGCTTAGCTTCGACTTCTTCCTTCACCTCCTTCTGCGCTGCGGGCGAGCCCTCCGTTTTTATGGGGCTCTCCGTCTTCATGGGGCTGTCTGTTTTCCCAGGGCTCTCGGTTTTCAAGGGGCTGTCAGATTTCCCGGGGCTCTCCGTCTTTATGGGGCTGTCCGTTTTCCCTGGGCTGTCCGTTTTCATGGGGCTGTCCGTTTTCATGGGGCTCTCAGCCTTGACGGGGCTCACAACCCCAGGGTTCTCTGGGGCTGCGGACTCCTCTGTCTCCATCTTCACCTCGGGCTTCACCTCCGTCACACCAGACGCCGACGTCTCGCCAGGCAAGGGTTCCAGTTTCTCTTGCTTCGGGATAGGTGTACTCGCTGAGGAGCCAACAAAAAATTGTTCAGTTTTAGTTTTATAGAGGTTTTTTTCGGCGCGACCTCAGAAGGTCATATGAGCGCCACGGGGTGGGTGTCAACAGAGAAGTCCTTACAGGGAATCAGACTTACTCTGCTCACCTCTCTAGCCTCAACAGCACAAAGTCTGCTTCGACCATCAAGGCACCCCGGAAATAACGGGTTACAAGAGTGTGACAAACATACAAAAGAAGTAGAAGAAAAATGACTGGTCAAAATATTTAGCCATGGAGTGCCATCAAGTGTGAGTGTGTGTGTGTGTGTGTGTGTGTGTGTGTGTGTGTGTGTGTGTGTGTGTGTGTGTGTGTGTGTGTGTGTGTGTGTGTGTGAGTGTCGGTGAAGGCAAGGCTCGAGGCTATGTGCAAAAAAATAACTTGCTACTGTCTCTCCGTTGTGAACTGCCAGTCACGCATGGGATTTACCCATCACGCAGCACAGAAGGAGACACTTTTGGCGCATGTGACTGAAAATTTGGGCGCGACTGATAGCGAGCGACTAAACTTCGCGTCGCGCATAAGGATACAAGTCTAAAAGTAAGAACTTACTCATCATGTCGATGTAAGGACTTGTGTAAAAGTAAGAACGTACTCCTCATGTCAAAGTAAGGACTTGTGTAAAAGTAAGAACTTACTCATCATGTCGATGTAAGGACTTGTGTAAAAGTAAGAACGTACTCCTCATGTCAAAGTAAGGACTTGTGTAAAAGTAAGAACTTACTCATCATGTCGATGTAAGAACTTGTGTAAAAGTAAGAACTTACTCATCATGTCAATGTAAGGACTTGTGTAAAAGTAAGGACTTACTCATCATGTCAATGTAAGGACTTGTCTAAAAGTAAGAACTTACTCATCATGTCGATGTAAGAACTTGTGTAAAAGTAAGAACTTACTCATCATGTCAATGTAAGGACTTGTGTAAAAGTAAGGACTTACTCATCATGTCAATGTAAGGAATTGTGTAAAAGTAAGGACTTACTCATCATGTCAATGTAAGGACTTGCGTAAAAGTAAGGACTTACTCATCATGTCGATGCGAGGCGGCCCCTGGAATGGGGTCATGGGGGCGGGGGCCATGGGTGCGGGGTGACCCCTGAGTGACCTCAGAGAGTTCTCCAACACCAGGTGGAAGGAGAGCGTCTTGTCGCGCAGGATGTTGAAGTCTGTCTTTGCCACACCGTGTCTGGGGAGGAAGGGGTGGTTTAGTTATAGTAAACATTTTACAGCACTCGCAACTGCATACGGTCATATGAGCGCCAGAAGATTAGAGGTGTTACAAGAGAGTAACAAACATAAAAAAGAACTAGGGGAGATAAGGACGATAGATGTTTGATAGGAAAGAAGAAGCAAACCACACCAGAGCACCCGCCAACCACCCACAGGAAGGGGTGGGGGAAACGAGATGTTTACAACCAACAACAGACATTCATTTTTTGATTTTTTGTTTTATTTCACAATGGTGTTTTGCATTGATGGCTAGTTCAATAATGACTTCAACCTCTGCCACCCTTCCCCTCCCCTATTTTCATCATTAGCTTTGATCAAGACCACATCTTAAACAATCAAACTTTAGTTACGGTATGTTTTCTGGCACTTCCAACACAATTTGGTCTTGTCAGTGACATATAGAGTTTTATCTACACAATTTGGTCTTGTCAGTGACATGTAGAATTATATTCACACAATTTGATCTCATGTAAGGGGCCAATACAGCTTTTCCAAGATTCATCCTCTCTCTCTTTTTCAGTTTTGTCGTGTCTTGCTTTTCTTTTTCTTTTTTTTTTTTTCAAATATAGCTGGTGTTCTTACACCCCCTTTGACACGATTTAGGTCATTTAGACGGACCTCTGACCCTGCCTGTCAGGGACAACCCCGGCTGAAAGGGATACAACATCCTGGCGTAAATGCTGTTTTGTTTTAGTAGAGGTGTTATGGCGCTCGCATCTGCATAAGAGCTCCAGAAGATTAGAGAAGAAGGGGAGAAAAGGACGATAGTTGTTTGATAGGAAAAAAGAAGCAAACCACACAAGAGCGCCCGCCAACCACCCACCATAAATACTGAGAAGCTCGTTCAAAATACTCCCCACTAAAGAATCAAACTCGGGGTCCCCCCCATAGGACAGAGAAGTGCCTAACCACTACACCACCTACACCACCAATGCAGCCACCAATGCGGCGCCAGTTCCCACCCTGCCTCACCTAGCGGCACCGATGAGCAGCTCCTTGTCGTGCTGTCCACAGACCCACCAGCTGGGCATGTCGTACGACGGCTGACACAGCTTGACGCGCTCCTCCAGCATGGTGTGCATCAGAATGTCCTGGCGGATCTTGTTCAGCAGGTCGATCCGTGCCAGGCAGCGGCTGGCTCGCTCCTCCGTGATGGGCTCCACAAAGATCATGTTGGGGGGTACTGGGAACACAGGAACAAGTTACACAACACATTGAGGGGGATCATGTTGGGGGGTACTGGTCACAGGAACAAAATACACAACACATTGAGGAACAAAATACACAACACATTGAGGAACAAAATACACAACACATTGAGGGGGATCATGTTGGGGGGGGACTGGGAACACCACATTGAGGAACAAAACACACAACACATTGAGGAACAAAACACACAACACATTGAGGGGGATCATGTTGGAGGGTACTGGTCACAGGAACAAAATACACAACACATTGCGGGGGATCATGTTGGAGGGTACTGGTCACAGGAACAAAATACACAACACATTGCGGGGGATCATGTTGGGGGGGGGACTGGGAACACAGGAACAGAATACACAACACATTGAGGAACAAAATACACAACACATTGAGGTAGAGTTTAGTTTTCCTACGATTTTTACAACAATTAGTTTGGGTCACAGAAGTGCCAAGAAACAGATGTTTACTACAGGAGTAACATACAAGGAAGAGGAGGAGGAGGAGGAGAGATAAGGACGACAGATATTTGAAAGGAAAGAAAAAGCTAACCAACCAACCAACCACCCACCAACCACCCACCAACCAACCGTCCACCAACCAACCGTCCACCAACCACCCACCCACCAACCAACCGTCCACCACAGAGTTGAAGAATACAGAAAGTTATTTAGCAGACCTGACACCAATTCAGTGCCAAAAATAGGTTGTTTTTTTTCTCAGCTAAAAATCAAGAGTTGGGGAGAGAAAAAACCGAGAGTGGCCTGAACCCCAATAGAAAAGGTTTATGAAACAAACCGACCGTAGCAAATAAACACATATTGCACATAAAAATGTGTATAATTATCTACTTTGCAATAAGTGGCGTACAACGGATGGAAACAGTTTTAGTTTTCGTAAGAGTTTTACGGCACTTGCAACACAATAAAGTCATATAAGTGCCGAAGAATAGAATAGGTGTTACAAGAGAGGAACATACACAAAAAAGGAGGGGAGATAAGGACGACAGATGTTTGACAGTAAAGAAGGAGCAAACCACACCAGAGCACCCGCCAACTTCCCACACGGATGGAAACAGTATTAGAGAAAAAAAATTAAGACTTAACGCAAATCTTATCTGGTCTTTAGTTTTAGTAGAGGTTTTACGGCGCTCGCAACTGCATGAGGTCACATGAGCACCAGAAGATTAGAGGTGTTACAAGAGAGTAACAAACATAAAAAAGAAGGGAAGATAAGGACGATAGATGTTTGATAGGAAAGAAGAAGCAAACCACCCGAAATCTAATCTGGGTTCTTCCACAAGCTAAAAAGAAATCAGAGGGTTCCCATGTAATCAGAATACTTGGCAGGTCTGATTTAGTGTGAATAAAGACGCGCGCACACACACACACACACAAAACCATTAATTTCTGGAGATCAGTTCAGAAAACCGGATTTCCAGAATCGTCCGTCAAATCAGCACCCCTGAACACA